AGGAAGATTACGCCAAGATAGAGTGTCTTCTGGGAGAGTCAAGGCAAGGCAATGCCAGACAAGAATCGCAGATCGCGGAAATGAGCATAGAATCCGTCATGTTGGGCACACAATCATCTAAGACATGTCTTGCGTGTTAGTTGCGTCCCGAGGTAAGACAAAGATAATATGGTCTAATGATAGGTAATATTACGAAAACCTAGCTTTTGTATTACAGTCAGTACGACCGGATATGATTGACGCAGTTCGAGACATTGAGACACCTGCCCACGGCCAGCGAATCTCTTCTAAGATCTCGGGGTTCCGCATCTTTCTGGGATTATAAGGATCTTCACATCGATGAATCGCTCTCCCTCGGCGCTTTGACGTTCCGTAGCTTTGACACTCTTCTACTGCAGATGTGAAGAGATATATCTGAAGCGAGATGTACTATTGTGGAAAGTGTGTGAATAAAGGCCATGCTCTTCTCCAATCCTCAAAACCTTAGTCATTTCCGTAAAACCGATCTATTTATAGATGAATTGTGGGATGCATCTTTTTAACCAGCATCAGGACAGAAGTCTTAAGATCTGCAAGTGCATTCAATGAGTGCGTCTGTCAAAAAGAGGCTGGGTCAATGACTCTCAGCGAACACTCTTTGCTTTTGCTCTAACTCGTTCAGCTCGCAAAGTGTTGAGCCACCATATTTACTTCCTGTGATAAATCAGTACCTTAGCTAATGGCTAAACGACACTTCCGCGTCGAGGGTCAAAAAGCCATGACTCTCTCACCTCATAGCAGACGTAAGCGTGGACGGCTGTAACGAACGTTTAAGGATACCTGAAACTCTCCAATTGGTCGTCTCAGTATTCTATGACGTGTGAAATAGTAATGGTCGCCGAGGTGGTTGGTAATGCTGTTACAATGACGCTGGGTGTAAGTGGTGATGCTGATGCGAGGCCAGGATCGACATGCGGCAAGTTCCGCTACCCCAGATATAATGCCGCCTTCTAGATGCTCATCGACTGCGTCTGGATCTTCTCATAACAAACCCCAGCAAGCGGATGACAGAAAAACCGAGGCCGAGAAGATTTCGAACACCCGCGAGTTAAATCATACGCCTACTAAGAGAGTAACTGCTGTATCTACATTTCCCTAATAACTGCTATTAGATCTGTATTTCTTTAGTAACTACTTCTGTATTTTTCTAGCAACAGCTACTATATATATATAATAAAATTCGGGTGCTGGCTGAATAGGCGTTCTCCAAAAAAAGCATTACTCGATAAGTTGATTAGGTGCTTATATTACTGAATGTATGTACTTATTCATTTTGCGGTCTCGCTTTTTCTGAACTTCGCTTGCCCACTGTTTTATTATTAACGATCACCACGTAAGCCACATCCGCCTCACTAAAAGTCCGTCTCACTATAAGTCCGTCCGTCTCATTGTAAGTCCGCCTCCCTCTGTGTAAATCCGCGTCCCCGTTTCTGGCAAGTCAAATAGGGCGATTATCAATCATGTCCTGCCAAATTCAGAACCTATCCTCCTTCTAGATTCTCCGTGGAGGTGTCGATATTCCTTGAATGCTTGTTAGAGTGTACCTCTCCCCCGCGCGCCAAGTTGGTCGTCTCAAAGTTCACGTAGTCTGGGGTGTCTCTCCGCACGACCGATATGTGTTCAATGGTCTGATTGAGGCGGCTCGTAAAAGTAAATCAATTATAAAAGATTCAGCTCAGCGAGCTCAGAATTGACCCTATTTGTCCAACCCAGCACCTTGTACTCAACCCTCTCTCCCTTCAGTAGTACTCTTCTCCCTCGTTTCATCCCTTCTTATCTATCTTCCTCGTTGGTGGGTACTCCGTAGCTAGGGTGCATATATCATCACAATGCCTCAAAATCTCTCCCAGTTGTCCAGGTAAAGCCTGTCCTTAAAGGCTCCCCAGGATATGAAGCTAGGCGGGCAGCTGTACTTGAAGAGTTTGCCGCCAAGGTACCGGACAAACTTCGACTTCCTATTGAGCTCATCAACAACCCTCCCAAGAACGTCACCGGCGTTCCCAAAGATTGTGGTCTTCTGACTCCCGAAGAACTCACCATCACGGAAGACTACGATGCCACCGCTCTGGCAGGCCTCATCGCCTCGAAGAAATTGACCGCGGTAGCTGTCGCTACCGCATTTTCCAAGAGAGCCATCATCGCACACCAGTTGACAGGCTGTCTGACCGAATGGTTCATGGATGATGCCATTGAGCAAGCCAAACACTTGGATGAACATTTGCAATCCACGGGAAAGACAGTCGGCCCCCTTCATGGCGTCCCCTTCAGCGTCAAGGAACACTTGCCTCTAGCCGGACACTATTCTAGCATTGGCCTTTATGATACAAGAGTCAAAGACGAAAAAGATTGCCACATAGTAGCAGCCTTGAGAGATGCTGGCGCCGTCTTTTACTGCAAAACCAACCAGCCTCAAGCTATGATGCATCTGGACACCTCCTCCTCATGGGGCCGTACCTTGAACCCTCACAACATTCACCTGTCGGCAGGAGGGTCTAGTGGAGGAGAAGCCGCTCTGCTGGCGATGCGAGGATCTGTTCTCGGTATGGGCTCTGATATTGCAGGAAGCGTCCGAAATCCAGCAGCCTTCTGCGGTATCTACGGCTTCAAGCCCACGACATGTGTTGTCCCTAGAAAAGGCCTTATAGCTGGTGGTGCAATAGCAGAACTCAACATCTTGACCACCGCCGGCCCCTTGTGTAACTCCCTCAGAGACATGGACCTCTTCATGTCCGTATTACTGGACTCGAAGCCGTATCTAGTGGACCCAACCCTTGTTCCTATGTCCTGGACCGGTCTCAAATCTTTACCACAACCTAAACCTTTGAAGATTGGAGTCATGATGAATGACGGAGTTATTGTTCCGCAACCACCTATCACCCGAGCTCTCAACTGGGCGATTGAAAAGCTAAAAGCATCAAATAACTTCTCTATCAGGACATTTGAGCCATACAACGTCTCCAAAGCAATCAACAATGCCATCCTCGCATACTGGCCCGACGGCAGCAACGGCATAAAGAAGCACCTCGCAGCTTCAGGCGAGCCGATGCTTCCCCTGACACAACTGGTCATCAAAGCCGCCGAGGGCCCCGAGCTGACGCCGTACCAGATCCTGGCGCAGCACCTCGATCGCGACCAGTTCCGCTGCGACTTTGCGCGCCACTGGGAGTCTCAAGACGTCGATTTCGTCCTTTGCCCGGTGTTTTTTGGTCCTGCATGTGAGCATGAAATGGTATTTTATCCCAACTACACTGCTTTTTGGAACTACGTCGATTATCCCGGCGCGGTGGTGCCCACGCCGATCAAGGCCGGTAAGAAGGGGACGGAGAAGTATGCTGCTGATGCGCCTGCGCCATTGAGTAAAGATGATGAGCATGTACGGCAGATGTGGGAGGAGGGTGACTTTGAGGGAGCACCGGTTAATCTGCAGATTGTAGCGAGGAAGTACCATGATAATGACTTATTTGCGGCGTTGGAGAAGATGCAGTGGGCCTTGGAGTTGCCATAGACGATTGGGATTTCATAGCAAGTAGACAACGTCGTAAACCTTGCGCATTGCTGAGTCTTTTTTTTTTTAATTTGGTGTGAGGCTATCTATCTAGTTTTTAGTTGTCCAGAGGACTAACCGTGGGATCCCACGTAGTCGGTGAATACGAGTCAAAGTCCAGCGTTGCCATGTCTTCATCCGTCAGTTCAAAATCGTAGAGTTCCGTGTTGGCCTCGATTCTGGATGGCGTCTCACTCTTTGGCAGAGGAACAAAGCCCTGCAGCACACGTTAGCATCTTATTACACAGACGTATTAAAACGGCGAATAGAAATAGCATCACTTACCTTTTGCAAACTCCATCGCAAGAGAATCTGTGCTCCGCTCTTCCCATATTTCTTCATCAAAGCCTGCACCTGCGGCTCATCGAATCTCTGCCCTTTGACAATCGGACAATACGCCTCAATCACAACTCCATGCTTCTTACACCATTCGACAATGTCCGGATGCGGCAACCAAGGATGAATCTCCCACTGCCCAACGCTAATCTCTCCTGCATTGCCCTCACCCAGCTCTGCTTCAAGCTCCTTGATGTACGCAAGCGTCTCTTCGAGATGATGCACGCCATAGTTGGACACTCCCATGGATCGAATCTTTCCCTCCTTCTTTGCTTCAACAAACGCTCTCCACGTTCCCTTTCTCGCTTCCGGACCACCATAGGGACTATGGTTGAGATACAGGTCGATGTAATCCAGCCCCGTCTCTTGAAGACTTGTTTCAATGGCCTTTTTGGTCTCCTTGTACCCACCCTTGCGAACTTTTGTGGTCACAAAGATTTGATCGCGGGGAATGCCAGATGCTCTGATTGCTTCACCACAGGCCTTTTCGCTGTCGTAGGCGCGCGCTGAGTCAAAGTGCTTGTATCCGGATTTGAGCGCGTGAATGTTGGCTGCCACGCTTTTTTCGTGGCCGATTTTAAAGTGTTGGTCAGCACCAGCAGCAGTCTATGTTGTTGGTTAGATTTTCATGTTAATTTTAATTAGTATGCGTAACTGATAGTCCTGACGACTTACTCCGAACCCTAAGACGGGAATCTCATAGCCCGACAGCATCTTATACTTGGACGCTAGAGTAAGTTGCGCCATTGTAACGATTCTCTTGGTGAATGCTTTTAAAAGGAATTGCGGTTAGTTCCTCAAGAATATGTTATGAATCTATTATTCAAGATCGATGCTTCAATCCATCGACTGGTGGAGGATAGAATAGCTTTGGGTATCTCAACACACAATAGATCAACAAATGATAGATGGGCCTAAAATGTGCAATAGATCGGCCCACCCAGAGCTTCTCCGATCCAATTAGCACATCGGCTTTACAGCATTTATCCCCGCCATTAGAGAACGGGAATAGGGTGGGAAAATTACCAGATTGGGACTTTTGGGAAATGCAGATCCCGTTGCTGCTTCTGTATCTCCAAGCCGTTCACCCACTTCTTCGCTTGAGGCTTACAGATATTCATACTATACGATTGCCAAATGACAAATACTCTGGATTACATGTATATTATGAATACAATGACGTCTTCCATAGATGTGGCGTTACCATGCCTGTGATGGCTCCAATGGCCACGCAAGAGACTATTGTCCACAACGACACAAGGATCGAAACAACCGATGCAAGCCAAACACCGAAACCCCATAACTTTTACCAGTTTCAACCCTCACTCCACCTCATCTTCAAGGTATCCTCTCCGAAAAGCTACGTAAAGTCAGCCAAAAGTCTAAGATAGTCTCAATCAGAAGTCTCACCTCCAACAACCAGACCCGTCGCATACATCACTCGCGAAATCGGCTTCAAATCATCCTCCCCATCCCCTCGATCCAGGTGCTTCTCCCAAAATTGCAACAAATCTTCCACCTGATCCTGCAACTTCTCACTCGCATCAATACAACTCACACCAACGCATGTGCCAAACTCGCGAAATGCCAGTCTTCGTGATGCGCTTCGTTGCATCATCACGGAAGAGGAGTCAAGTAGCTCCTCTGCTTTTGGCAATGCCTTGCTGCGGAATTTGATGGCCCACGGCTCGTCTCTCCAAATGTGGCACATCCACAGCCCCATACCTAGATCCAACATGTCGGTTCCAGGAGACAAACTTCCCTTCCTCGACATGAGATTCCAGTAATCGTTAATCTCCTGTTGTAACACACCATTTCGATGGCCTTGTTTCGATGCAGTCGTTTGCATCAGCTTGTAGACGACATATCCTGTTGCAGCATCTAAATGGCCCTCGGAAGGAACAAGCACACTCTTCATATCCATGGATATCTTCCATACCATCTTGACGCCCCCCGACAGGCAATGCACCAAGAACCGCGGATGAATCGCCCTCGCCAACTGAATTCCCAAATCATTCCAGTCTCTCTCCCCCGCCGCAATAGAAAGCCTATTCAGCGCAAACATCCACAGCGTCAAATAATGATGGTACTGTCCATCGCCGTCGCTCCCCGAAGCATCCAGTTTGCCGATTCGCAGGCCTCCTACCAGCGGCTCTTTATCCGTTGCGCCGTCCAGTCTTTTCTTTCCATCCCTTGTGCGGCCTAGTATATCGTGGACAGTCACCACCAATCGTTTCGCCAGCGTGAGATACTTTGGTTTGGCGGTTTCTTTGAAGAGAGTGATGAAGTTGACGACTCCAAAGGCGTCTGTCCAGAGATACCTACCGCGATGGCCACCAGCTCCAGGGTTATCAGGAGGGATCCAGTCGTTTGCATCTTCACTTGATAACTCGTCAAAAGGGCCATAAACGGTCTTCATGGCTTCAATGAAGCGACCCATTTTGTCAGGTTGCGACATGATTTGTCTGTGTGTTATATGACAGCCACGAGAATTGTAATGACTTAGAATCAGATTCTTAGGCAGGAGACAAGCAATTTTTCTCAATTGTCGAAATCCGTGTTGCGAAATAATCACCATTGCTTATATGGTGTTGGATGTGATGCCACTATGACGCCTCCATAAGAGGTACTGTGGTCAGCTGAACATCTCGACACTAGTTCCGCGCTCAGCTTTTGTTCGGTTCTGTTACTAATCTTTGATGGAGACGGTATATATTGAGTTTTCTGATCTAAATAAGATGGCACGTCTTGGCATTTAGTCGTTGTTCTGTCATTAAGCTTGTTCATTAAGAGGATTTGTGTGTGTTAAAAAAAATTAAGTAGAGTCGATTCCTGAGCCGCTCTCCATTTTCCATTTCAAAGGAAAATGAGATGATCTCTCTGGTTAAAACAAATGAAAAAACATATAGAATCTCTGCCGAATCAACTTCATATAATTAAAAACCTCCCAGAGGTCCCTCATACACTCCCTGAGGATGATGCATCGCAAGCGGCCACAGCTCAAACAAACCCTGCGTCTGCATAAACACAAGAGCCCCAACGTCATCCCACAGCAAGCTCCCAAGAACGCGCACAACACCCTTGTAGCCCGGAGATTCATCCATGCGCTCTGTATCAACCTCATTGGGCTCGTGGTCTGCGTCAATGGCAATCACGAAGCCGCCTTGCTGTGGTACTGGATGGAGATATGAGTCGATGACGCCCTTGTCCGCCGCCAGAAGAATATCGCTGTGAACGCCAGATGGAAACTCTTCCAAGTCACGGAAGGATTGGAAATGACTGTATCATATAGTAAGCAATTAGACTGTGACAATGGATTGTGTGCAAGTGAAATACGTACGTTCTGAGGGTATCAATGTCTCCATCCGCGATGCCTAGATCCCGAGCATCCCGCCAATAAATCTTTGACCTTTCTCTAATCGTATCGACATTGCTCAGCTCACGGCCCCAATTCGCAATGTCAGTCTCAAATTTCGCCTTGAAAGATTCCCACTCTTCATCTGTATGATCATGAGAGATACGATATGCCACATATCCCCATTCAAAATTGTTTCCGGAACCAATAAACTGGTTTGCCTTCATCACCCATTGCTCTTGTTCTATGGGTGCCGGCTCTCCTCGAAGCTCAAGTCTTACTTTTTCTTGTGCTGTTACTTGACATTGAGCCGTCTTTGCATAATCAGACAAGACTTCAAAGCCGGTCGGCAAGCCAGCTGGCATGTCCATACCGCCTCGCTCCTGGCCAAGCCATGCCTCAGTGCGCGACAGATATTTCAGCCTCAAATAGTAATCTGCCTTTCGAGCATCTGCGTTCGCCGAAAAGGAGATGGGTTCTCTACGGTACGGCTCAGAGGCATCTGGTCGCGGCGGGGCGTCATCCTGTGCGGCAAGGTCTTCACCCTCGTATCCGTCCATTGGCAAAAAGATTGCTGAATCGGCCTGAGCCCCATTTTCCAACAAATCGTGAAGTTTGTTTGTCAGTGTCCATTCCTCCGGGCTAGGGGTAATTTCGGCCGTTGCAGGAATGCCTGAAAGCTCCTGTAGAATCGGAACACGGAGACGGTCAATGGTGTTCACCACCCAACGGTGAGAGCGTAAAGCGACGAGATTAAAGTGAGCCTTGATATATTCGTGCCATCGAGCTGCGATTTGAACTTCGGGCATGTTTTCCAGTCTGTTCTTAGCATTCACTGCGTCTTCAAAGTCCTTCAAGTGTGCCCAAATGAGACTGTACGTCTCGCGAAGGGCTCCCTTGATAGGTGCAAGATTGAGATAATGAAAGGTGTTTGTAATAGCGCAGATGTACTGGCAAGCAGCGTGGAAATTTTCGGGCGAGTCAAGCTTAAGCTCTTCCCATCGTCTCTCAGAAAGAGGCATAATGCCCTCCCAGAGCCTCGACTTCATAGAGTGAAGCTCCTTTGAAATGGGCACTAGCCGAGTTGAATCTTCATGAGAGCCGATGCGCACCATCATCTGCTGCACGGGAATTTCATGACTGACATCGAATAGAGGCGGCGCCCATGAAGCAAGCGGCTGTTGCATCAGCATCACAACCTCTTCTGACAGAGGTGGGAAAGATGACGGACTCCCGTCAGATAGAACCCCAAACATGGTGGCTTCAATGAAGTGCGGAATCGTCTGAGGCTCCAATATGCGGTCTACAATCCACAGCTTCGCCTCTATCTGAGTGGGAGTCGCATCGGGCTGTAGGACATGTTCGAGAGCTCCAGATGGCGTGTTGCCTCGGGTGATGCGGTTGTTGTTGAGCTGGCTTGATTCTGAGGTTCCATTCTGGCTCAGCAGGAGGTCAAGGTTGAGTAAAAGATTTGCCATATTCATCTTGTGGTTGTCTGCGTCTTCCGCGTAGCTTCTGGGGAGATTCAGATTAAGCTTTAGCTGGTTGAGAGTTGTCAACTCGGTGGTGCCAGTGCGGCGCCGTGGAGCGTGCAAGGTTGAAGAATCAAGATTGAACCTCGGAGGCCGAGTATGAAGTAAGCGAGTGCATTGAAGTGACCGAGTCAGATGAACTCGACGGCTTAACACGGATGGCCTCATCTTTATAAACTCAAGGTCCTGGATTCCAAACGCCAGTGTCAAGACCAAGTGGGACAAACCAAATTTACTGTCCCGTTGGTGCCTGGCCTGCCTGAAGTTGGTGGGGGACCAAACGGCTAAAGTGCTCAAGTCGCAAGTTAAACCCCTATGTCTATTGAAGCCATCTGACCGTCGACTTATTTCCAGGAATCAATTTAATTTAAGTCGCCAAATGAAGCACTTGTTAGTAGAATTGACACTGGATGTTGAAATTAGCATCGTGTCCTGTAGTTGTAGTGAGCTGCTGTTAGACATTATAGTTGCACAAACGCTTTCAACCAAGCTCTCAACTCTCCCCACGAGTAAGGTGAACCACTACCAGGATGTACTACAATAGAGTCCAGCTGCAGTATTTAAAGGCTGGAAGTGAGCATTTTCCACATTGGGTTAATGGGTCTTGACACATGCATTTCGCCTTCCGCCTGCTTAAAGTGAGTGACGTTCAACTAAGCCGCCACAACTAAGCTAGTTCTTGCGCTGAGCTTGGAGGTTATGTGCATCATCTCACAAATAGCATGCCATAACATATATAGCACAACAATTAGAAAAGCTATACTACTACTTGACTGAATTTTCCATTGATCCGCCCGAGGCCGGCCGAGCTTAAACTCCAGCGGAGAACTCCATGCGACGACCAAAGGCTCTCTCCAGCAGCAGATGAAGACGACCACCATTCCTCAATATCGATACTATGGAAGTTATATAGGTTGGAACTGCCGACCATGTCAGTATACCATCAGCGATCCATTCTGACAGGTATGGAACATGACTTACATTGCAGATTTGATTGAGGCACTTGTATGGCTTGCAACAGCTCGGATCTAATATTCCTTTGCACTCTGAGCCCTAGATTCCCAACTCAATTAGTTCCTACCCATGCTGTAACGAATAACGTCTGCTCTAGCATGGTAGCCCTTACAAGTGGTTTACAATCTCCATTGACCAGAGCCGCACTGGCCAGAATGACTAGGTAAGTGAGATTGACCTTGATTGTTGCTTGATATAAGAGTTCAATTTTTGACAATACAATCATGCAGATGGACAAAGGGACGCAAAAAAGGAGTTGGTGAGACGGATACAAGTAGACCTTTTATGGATGACGATACTGGCAGCTTAATAAGACTGCTAGGTTCTGCCCGGCATCTCTCAGCCAAGTGATCCAAACTTCATGTCTCACAGCAAGGTGATACAGAGATGATCCAACTTGGCTTACTAAAACAGGGAGATTGGCATCACATACATAACATTGGAAGGCTTACAGTAATAGAGTGATCTCAGACACTCACAAGGGAGGAGATATGATCTGCAAAATAGCGACGTTGCACCTTGACTAAGACGTATGAGATATCCATATTGCTTGAGTAAGAATTGTTATTAGAGTAGTAACAGGAAGAGACGTCATTGAATTCAACTTTATTGCCTGGATGCGGGACAAGAGATGGCTATTGTTACACCATATTTCTTCTCCTCCAGATCTTACCCAGACGTGTCGATCATGGTAGACATCTGCTACTAGTTGTTGTACAAACTAGTGCTTGATCATCAAACAGAACTCGCAGCTATAGCACGGATCTTGAATTATGGTAGCTGTTAATAGCCAGCTGACAATGTCAAGCACCTACCAACAAAAGGGACAATTCGCAACATAGCAAGTTGTTGCAACGTAAAGGATGCAAATACTGGGGCAGCAACAGCTGTGTCGAGTTTGTTTGTTTGGTTCATGTTGTGGGTATTCGTGATACTTGTTCAATATATCCCAATGGTTCCACATGAGTTACCTCTCTCACAAGCACAGCGGAAAGATAAAGGAAGCAACCAACTTTAACCGAAACCCATCCCAATGCCTGCTTAGCTCTATTCATCCATGCAGTCAGTCTGAGTTGCACCGAATTTCCCGTTTCATACAAATGCAAAACAAAATGCCATATGCTCAATCGCCAAAACACCCGAGGTTAGCCACGCTGACTCCCGCGACCTCCTCAATGCCCCGATACACGCAAACTGCCTCCTAGACCTCGTCATTGTCATCGTCGTCCGTCATTTCCATCCCAGTCTCTTCCTTTTCGTCTTCATCGTCAATCAACATCGTCCGCCGCCTACCTACCCGCCCCTTTCCCTTGTCCATCATGCTGCGGCCAGGTCTGTTGCCGTACACCTTCTGAGACGCTTCCACCTTCTTTCTTTCCAGCAGTTGCTCGAAATCCGCCAAGTCGTCTGCTTCCTCCTCCGCAGCTCCGTCCACTAAAGCCGTTTCTTCCAACGCCTTGTTCAAAAGCTCTGTCGCGATGCTATCCTGCGGGTGGATGGCCAGGGCCTCGTGAAGGACAACAACCGCCTCCTGTGGCTTGTTTTGTTCCATCAGAATGAGCCCCTTGGCGCTAAAGATGGCCGCATCCTTGCCACCTGCTCGTAGTACCTCGTCAAACTCCGCCAGTGCTCGGTTATAGTGCCGCAGCCGGCGAAAAGCGTGTCCTAGATTTGTCCTCGCCGCGAGCCATGCTGACGGTTCACTGTCATTCTCGTCGGCCACCTTGAGGGCTGCTGTGAAATATTGGACGGCGTCCTTTGGATTGTCTTGGTGGTATTTAACAATGCCCATCTCATTGAGAAGCAGTGGGTCCGTCTTGCACAGCCCGTAGGCAGTCTTGAGGAATTCTTCTGCAATAGTCATGTTGTTGAGTGCGTGATTCTGCATCCCCAGGAATATCTGCGGTAGGTGGGTGCCCATGAAGAGGCGTGCTGCCGTTGAATATGCTGAAATGGCCTGGTCATGCTCTCCCTCCTCGGCGAACGTGTGTGCGAACCCTATCCAGGCAGGGCCAAAATGTGCGTCCATCATGCTCGCTTTGCTAAAATACCGCCTGGCTTCTGCAATTTTTTTGATGCTGAAATAATAGATGCCCACGGCTAACCATGTACAGGGCTCTTCGGGGTGGGTGTCTGCCAGGTCGTGTGAAATCAGGAACAGCAGGTTCTTCATCTTGAGTTCGTAGAGGCAGGCGAGGTGGACGGGGTATATCGCAAAGTTGTACTTGTCCTCTTCCAAGATGGCGTTGGTAATGGTCAGGGCGTCTCGGTATCGGCACTGCGTGTACAGTAAATCGGCTCGAGCAAGCTGTAGGTCGGGGTTAGCGGCCAGCTGGTAGTGTGTTGACAGTGAATCGTAGGCGGTATCGAATGCCGCGGGATTTCTGTATTTAGAAAGCCGTGTCGTGTAGAGCATCTTTGTGAACTCGGCCGCTTCCTGAGAGGACTTTGGATCTCCCGAGAGATGTATTGAATCAAAGTCTAGGCTGTCGAGAAACTGCCACTCCTCGTCTGGCGATAGGAGAGAATTCTTCATCAACTGCTGGAACGCCTCGAAGCACTGCACGTCGATCCGAACCGCATCCTTGTAACATTCCTTGGCACGATCAAAAGCATTTTGCTTGGCATAGCAGATGCCCCGGAGGAAGCACATAGCTGCCTCGAATCGTCGGGTGGCCGCCTCATCGTCCCCGGCATCGTCGTCTCGTCTTCGCCCGCTGCGAGCCTGGTTTGAGGCCTTGCGCTTGTTGCTCGGGCCATTGGATATCAGGTGTGTCGGATTGCGCTCCCCAAGGACAGCCAAGGCCTCGTCGAATCGAGACTGTTTGATGAGACAGTGACCGGCAAGATAGCGACAGGCGGGATTGCGGCTGATGAGGTCTTGCTTGGAGAGGAACGATTGCGCACGTGTGTAGTTTCCAGTCGCAAAGTGGACTTGGGCAAGCCAAAACGCATCGTTGTCGTCGTCTATAAATAATACACATGCGTTAGCTCAAATGTTTACCATGATGAAGAATGGCTTGGTGGTCACAGACTGGTCAAGGCGAGGAGCTTGTCTCCGATAAAGATGGCCGATTCATATTGTGCCTTGTTGAGGGCATCCTGCCTCCAATCCCTCAGAAACTTCTCCATCCTCTAGCATCGAGAAGAGAACATCGGGCAGAGCGACAGGATGGAAGAAGAAAAGAAGTAAAGTACAATAAAAAAAAGTTACAGATAGATGAAAAAGAAGAACAAATCGTTTAGGTATTTAGCAGGGTATCATGGCTGGGGTTTCGGCAGCAGAAGGTGCTTGCATCGATATCGAATATCCAGATCTGAGGTTGACGCGCGAGAGATGATGCTAGGCGCGTGAAGTTTGTTTGCAACCACTATTCTCAGTTGCTAGGGAGTGCGATTGCACCTAAGGCGTTGCTACAGGGGGTGTGCTCTGCAAATAGCGGGGTAGCTTCAGCGGAACGACCCCTCAGTCCAGCGAGACATTCACTGGCTGCATCCGGGAATTCGGATTTCCAGGATTGGTTGATTACAAGCTGGGTGAGAGGCGAGAGAAAAAAAGAACTCCACAACGCCGATACAGGAGCGAGTCAAATCCTGCGCCGTCTTCAACACCAGCATAAATCTACACTCTCGCAACTCCAATTGACTCTTTTTGTAACGATACCGATTCGCATCTTGCAGACTCAAAGCCCCGAACGGACACAATGACCACCTCCGCTCTTCCCATCCGTGCTGCGGCTCTTGTTCGCAACACCAACGAGACGTCGATCCAGATCGCTCTCAGCATCGACGGCGGCGAGCTTCCCCAGGATACCGACCCCCGACTGCTCGAGGTCGCCAGCGCACACGCCTCGCAGTCTAGCAAGTCTCAGGTGATTGCTATTAACACGGGCATCGGCTTCTTGGACCACATGCTACATGCGCTGGCGAAGCATGCCGGCTGGAGCATGGCGCTCAACTGCAAGGGAGATCTTCACAGTTCGTTTCACTCTCTTTTGCTCTCTCTCTCTGTGTGATAAAGATGCCACATCGTTCTAACAACACATCCTCCATTATCCAGTTGACGACCACCACACTGCCGAAGACTGCTGCCTCGCCGTCGGCACGGCCTTTGCCAAAGCCCTCGGCGCCCTGACTGGCGTCGCCCGCTTCGGCTATGCCTACGCCCCTCTGGACGAGGCTCTCTCTCGCGCCGTCGTCGATCTGTCCAACCGCCCGTACGCCATTGTCGACCTGGGTCTCAAGCGCGAGATGCTGGGCCAGCTCAGCACCGAGATGATCCCCCACTGCCTGCAGAGCTTTGCTCAGGCCGCTCGCATCACCTTGCACGTCGACTGCCTGCGCGGTGACAACGACCACCACCGGGCTGAGAGTGCCTTTAAGGCTTTGGCTGTGGCCATTCGCATGGCGACTACCAGGGTTGCCGGCAAGGAGGGCGAGGTTCCCAGCACCAAGGGTACATTGAGCGCTTAAAGAGATATATATGATGCGGGAAGAGGAAAAAAATAGAAAAGGCTAAAAGTAGAAGTTGGAGTTTGGCGTCTTGCTTTTTGGATAATGTCGATGCACATATCCCATACATGCGGTGCGGCTGGCTGTCTTTGACCATTTGGCGAGCTTTCACAGGAGAGCATATTTTGATATTGGAATAGAAATCATTGTAGATATGCGTATGCAGCCAACCCATTTTATTTGCCCCAAGAAACTAGCCATCATACATGTAACATTTTTTATACAACGTTTATGTCCTGTAGTCGCCGTTAATCGTAACATAGTCATGGCTGAAATCGCATGTCCAGTGAACGATGCTCTTATCGCCAGTTCCCAGCCTCACCAGGATTTCCAGGTCCTCCATCTCAAGAATCTCACTCGCTCTCTGCTCATCCACGTTTTCCGGCTCACCGTTGACCAGCAGCTTCAGTTCAGCCGAGCCGTCAGTGGGAACAAATGACACGCTCGTCCGCTCAGGGATAATTTCAGGGACATCGTTGACAGGCTGTCCAGGAGGCGAAATGAGAGCGTAGCCAGCAGCACACAGAATGCGGCCCCAGTTGGCGTCTTTTCCGTACAGAGCCGTCTTGACGAGGGGTGAACGAGCAATGGCACGAGCAATCTCGCGCGAGGCAGCCTCGGAGGCACCATCTACAACACGGATTGTGACGAATTTGGTGGCTCCCTCACCGTCACGGACGAGGTACTTGGCCAGCTCAGCGGAAAAGTCAGTCACCAGATTCTTCAAGGCTTCGTAGTCGGCAGACTGCTCGGAAGAAACCTCGTTGCCGCCAGCAGCACCGTTGGCAAGCAGGGCAACAGTGTCGTTGGTGGAGGTGTCACCGTCAATGGTCAGCGCATTGAACGAGCGGTCGACAGAGTACTTGAGCAGAGGGTTCATGAGGCTCGGCGCAATGGGTGCGTCAGTGGCCAGAATAGTGAGCATGGTGGCCAGGTTGGGGGCCATCATGCCAGCGCCCTTGGTCATGCCCGCAATGCGGTACTCGACGCCAGGAGAAGACGGCAGCTCAAACGTCCTGGACATGAGTTTGGGAAAGGTGTCGGTGGTGCAAATGGCCTTGGCACAGTCCAGCCAGTGCCGGTGAGAGTCTCCAGCCTGGTGATAGGCCATAGGGATATGGTCCACGATTTTCTGGATAGGGAGTCTAGAAGGAGAGCATCAGTAAAAACCAATTCGTCAACAATCATCTTTTTTCTTGAGACGAACCTTTGCCCAATCACTCCCGTGCTCATCACCAGCGTCGAGTCCTCGCTGCCAACCCTCTGGTCCGTCGTCCTGGCCATGCTCGCCGCATCCTCCAGCCCTCCGACACCGGTCACGGCATTGGCATTGCCCGAGTTAACAATGACGCTGCGAAGCCCAGCATTGGCCTTGCTCTGAAGAATCTTGCGGCTGAACGTCACCGGCGCCGCCTGGAACTTGTTCTTTGTGAAGACGGCCGCCGCCGACGCTGGCCGGTCCGACGTCACGAGGGCGAGATCCGGCTTGCTGGTGTTGCCCGGCTTGACGCCGACGAAGACGCCCGAGGCGAGGAAGCCCTTGGGATACGTGCCGGACGTGGGCACGTACTTGAGCTTGGCCGGCGGGATGGCGCTGGCCAGGCCAGTGGAATAAGCGCGCTTGAACTTGAGCATGGCTTGTGAGGAGGACGAGAGTGGCTATAATTGCATTGTCGTGTGAGCTGGGTTGAGAGAGACTTTTAGCTGTGTGATTGGCAGCTAAAATCGGAGCTATGATGTGCCAAAGCTTGCGGCAGCCAACTGCTGGTTATGAGTCAAGTGGATGATAAGCCCCCCATGGCATTGAGGGCCGATGTTGGCGATTACAGCAGGTAAAGAGTCATTTACGTATTGAATCTGAACTGTACTCATAATATTTGAGTTTGATACATTTATTCTTGGCTTTTGGTTGTGCATTTGGCGAGATTCTCCAATTCTGTCATCTGTTCCTGTTGACATCTGATGATAGAATTTGATGCGCCCCAGCTAGTAGTAGTAAATCCACCTTTCACAGAGTTTAGATGCACCAAATCAAGCCATTGGCGTTGTGTAGTAAATTATCTTTTGAGTATTGGAAAACAAGCAGTTATTTTTGCCACTCATTTCATTTTATTCACTTCAGCCCTTCCTTCACTGCTGCCTACTTTGGCTGAGTCGCTGCCTGCCGCAAGTACCACCGGCTTGTCACTTTCACTCGCCCTTTGCTTACGTAACGCCTCAGCTCACGGGCCCCACTCCGCGCCCTATAAAACTTCGTCCGACCGCCCGCCTTTTTCACTCTTCTTTTCTTTCCTTTCTTCCCCATCCAAGTGCACGGGCGTTTTCCTTCTCCGTGAAGCGATAAGCTGAGAGAGGAATTTTGCTAGTTGAAAACTATACACTGACCACTCCTGGCTGGGTTCGCCTGGCCAGGGAATATTTGGAACCCTACAGACTCTCTGCTTGTTTGGTGGAAAGAACCCTTTTTCTCTTTCATTGCGGTTGGTCCCTTGAGGACTGGCGTGAAGAAGGAGGCTCGAGATGGAGAGGGGATTTGGGCGGTGCGAATTGGTCACGTAGGAAAGACGCGTCATGGCCGGATTCGTGATGACAGGCAGATTGTGAGCATCTAGAGTTCCATGGATGGATTTCTGTATGACGATGTATCACTCGCGTTGTGTCGCTTGTTTGTATGTAGCCTTGCAGCATATCCTAGTCGTTGGGAACAAGCTGAGCTGCGTCTCTCTGTTTTGACCTGGTGAACGAGCAGCATCGCATATACTGTTCATAGCAAGGCATCATTACGAAAATAGTACTCCACGATCGCATCAACTCTCTCTCCGTGACTCAGCTATCTTTCTCTAAACCCAAATCTCCAGCCAGCTTCCTCTCGCGTCGCCGTAAAAAGCAAATTAAAATTCACCAAAGCTGCAGCCAAAGTTTCTTCTGCAGCATCAGCAGCTTTAGCGCGGGGCACTTCCGTTTCCACCATCGATTATTTTCCAGTGACTCAAAAGAGACCCCACCTTTGGACTCTCACAAGCAGCATTTCATGGACTGACACACTTTGGCATTCTTTGGACGGGATTTGTTTATTTCTGCGGCCTTTGCATCTTCGGTGCCTCATCTTGCGACGACGTAACAGCTCTCACTCGACTCCTTCCTTAGCATCAATTGTCGCGACACAAATCTACGTCTCCGATACGACTCCATCTCTTTGGTGATACAACCTCTCGCCTCAACGACCTCCCGTCCTGTTGCAAAACCAACCTCTTAATGGCGGCAGAAGCAGGCCAGCCCGCGCCCAAAAGCGAGGCTCCGGCAGAAAAGAAGGACCAGGGAGACCAGAAGAAGGGCGCCAAAGACCAGAGCAAGGCCCCCGCGGCGGCAGCAGCAGCAGAAGGCGGCGAGAAGAAGCTGTCCAATGCCGAGCTGAAGAAGAAGGCCAAGGAGGAAAAGGCCGCCAGGAGAGCAGCAGCAAAAGTCTCACAGCCACAGCCTCCCGCCAGCGCACCGGGCCAGGGCGACAGCGCAAAGGGCGGCAAGCCCAAGCCCAAGCAAGATGGACCTCAGGCGGGCGCTCAGCATGGAAAGACTCCCGCCCCGCGATCGGCCGCGCCCATGACGGCGACAGCGACCAAGGAGGCAAAACCATCGGTTCCAGAGTGCTTCAGCCATTTGGCCATGGCCAAGGGAGTCAACCTGACACATGCGGACAAGGATGTGCACCCAGCTGTGTTGCTGCTGGGCCAGCAGATGAGCACCATGGCCATCAGTGATAGCACCACTCGGCTGGAAGCTACTCTCCTGGCATTCAAAAAGGTAAAGACAAAACTATTCATTCAACTACTTTCTCTGAAGCAAATATCTAACAAGAGAAATAAAAACAGGTCATCGATTCATACACAACACCACACGGCACCACGCTCTCTCGACACTTCACCTCCCACGTCCTCAACCCCCAAATCGTCTACCTCACAGCATGCCGCCCCATGTGCTTCTCCATGGGCAACGCCATCAGATGGCTCAAGCTTCAGATCAGCAAGATTGATATCGACATGGCCGACTCTGACGCCAAGAAGCTTCTGTGCGAGGCCATCGACAGCTTCATCCACGAGCGCATCACCCTCGCCGACCTCGTCATCGTCAACACCGCCGCCGACATGATCGCCCAGGACGATGTCATCCTCACATACGCTCACCACCACCTCGTCGAGCGCGCCCTGCTCAAGGCAAAGGCCAGCGGCAAGCGCTTCAAGGTCATCCTCGTCGACGACCCCTTTGAGCGGGTCGGCCTCGATCATGTCAAGAAGCTCGCCGCCGCGGGAATCCCCGTCGCCTACTCGCCCGACTTTGGCGCCCTGCGCACAAACCTGCAGGAGTCCACTACCGTCCTCGTCGCCGCAGAGGCCATGTTTAGCAACGGCGCCATGTATGCGCGAGCGGGCACCTGCGACGTCGCCACGGCGGCGTTTGACCTCGGCATGCGCGTCACTTCGCTGTGCGAGACGATTAATTTCACGGAGAGAGTGTCGATAGATTCGCTCACCTACAACGAAATTGATCCGGAGAGGAACACGGATGAGGAGTTTAGACTGCTGTTTGACACGACGAGGGACAAGTCGATTTCGGCCGTTGTAACGGAACTGGGTATTTGTTCGGCCAAGTCGGTCCCTGCAATTTTGCGGAAGCTGGAGGAATTGTAAAAGGGGAGGCATCCATGAGGCACATGAGCATGTAGCTAGGAAAAGACGTAAAAACGAATCAAAGAATAAAAAAAAACAAGCAAACAATTAAGCCAATTGTGTTATTATCATGACATTTGCAACAATGACTCGCCCGCATATCGTGACTGTCAGGTAGCAAAACATGTCTGTAACTTTATATCATTTTCATTGAGTCCTCGTCGCTGGTTTAGCACGGCCATTGATGATTCCCGTAACTCGCATCCCGGCCTCAGCTCATCCCAGCCAAAAAAGCTCATCATTTCTCTTCCCCATCTATATGTACACAAAATCCGGATATCCCACACCCCCTCAATTCATTTTTACATCTCTCTCCCTCCTCATTCAAAATCCCAAATGTTCAAGCCTTAAGCCTCCACCCTCTCCGCATCCCGCTGGGCCTTCCTCGCCCTCTTCTCCAGCAGCGCCCTCTTCCGCTCGTTCAGCATCGCAGTCTGCTTGTCGTCCACGCCCTGCAGCCAGTACCCGAAGCTCGCGCCGCCCGCCGCGTACACGGGGTACGCCCACAGCGAGGACTTGTTGAAGAAGGGCCGCATCTCGATGCCGACTTGCCAGAAGCGCACGGCCAGGCCTATATGCCAACAAAAAAAAAAGGACATTGTTAGTAATCTTTTTTTATTTCTTAATCAAATAGTTTGCCTTTCTTCAAATAGTTCGCCTCAATCAAGGGTTTTTTGCAAGGTGGGGAGGAGGGGAGTTTGAGAGACAAACCGAAGCAGCTCCAGAATGCGATGCGGTGGACCATGATTGTGGAATGGGAATTGACTCTTTGGTGGGGGAGAGATTGAAAGAGTCTTTTTAGGGTGGGATTTGCTGGTTTTGCAAGGGCCGCGGGCGCAGGAATTGGCCGAGTTTTGGGGGGGGGAGTCGAGCTCGAAGATTGAGATGCGCGGGTATCTTGGAGTTTGGGATCGGAGGTGGTGATGAGGTTGGGCGGTTCTTCGGGAAGTGGCATCACGTGCCTGGGCATGTGACCTTGGCTTATACTTTAGTACTTGCACCAGCGTATGCTGCTATATGAGGCTCTCTTGAATGAGTATACAATAATTATAATATAATGCTCAGACAAGTTTATTTAATTTCCAAAATGATTAAAGACGATTTACTTCATTCGTTACTAGAGTGATTTAAAGATGTATGCGGCAATTATTGGCATGCCCCATCCACAACCAACTCGATGACAAGATAGCAGAAACATCATCAGTGTATGAGTCTAATTGGAGAGTCTAAACAACACCCTTTCTAAGGAAATCATGCTCCCAACATGTCATTGCGACCATTTCTTCTTCCCTCATCTATCATTCAATGTATTCGTCAAACGCCTCGCAAGCAAGAAATGAAACAGAAATTGTACGCCACACAATGCATTCATCATATTAACCAACCACCGAATTGGGCTGTTCATCATACCGGGCGATATGCCGGCGGAGGATCTAAAGGCACTGCCGCTGTTTGCGACGTTGGTCGAGTAGATGGTTGAGACGGCCCAGGAGCTCCCTGAGTCCACTGCGTCGTCTTTGCCATCATTTTTCCCATGTATTGCTGAATAAATGATTCACTGTCCAAGAGTTAGCAAGATAATGATATGAGAAGAAATCAAGGGAAATAACATACGTATAATAGCTGTGATCAGAGTTGTGCAGCGAAACCAAGTTGTGGGCAAGCTCGTGAGCCAGCACCACCCACCACCAAGTGCCGGCCTCAGCCTTGCCAGCTCCATTCGGAACATCAATCTGGGCAGCATGCAGCTGGAGGAAGAACCGGAAGTTGCAAAAGATGCTTCCACCAGTGTTGAAGGCTATCGTTCCACCAGCTTCGTCGTGAAAGATGTGAAGCACCTTTGGCGCCAACGAGTAGACGTTACCAATTTCGACAAGAAGCGATGCAAAAGAGTTAATCGCAGCGAGATTTGTGGACAAAAAGGCAGCGGCGTGGGCAGTCATTTCCTTGGCCACATAGACTTTCATGCCGTTAGAAGCCTCTGCCACAAATGTAATATTTTGAGCTGGCTTCTTGTCGCAGTATGTCGCCTGTTCTTTGACCTCGGAGACCTGAGGCTCTGAGTAGACACTATCAGATCCGTGGGCTCGCGTTGCATTGACGGCGTTCAAGAGGTTCTGCTGGACCACAGCTGGGTTGGTCACTTTGCCGTCATCGTTTTGCGATTGTCCACTACCACCAGACTGGTCAGGGCCTCGATTGGTGGAATTTGAGTTGTTGCCCATAAACTGCTCGACCTGTCCTCGAGAATCATTCTTATCGTCATCCTGCGTATCAAAGCCAAATCGCCGGCTAAGGTTCGAAAACAAGCCCCTGCTCTTCCTGTTATTTGCGTTCCTATCCTGCGCATTCTCCTCTGGCGAATCCCATGCTCCAGGCATAGATGGATGCGAAGATTTCGGAGATCTGGGAGCTTCCCGTGCAGCCTCTGCTGCCTGCGGAAGTTGCTGAGACTTGGAATGCTCTGCCTGTGATTGAGCCCAATTTTGCTCCCTCTCCCGAATCTGCTTCTGCTCCTCTTCCAATGCCTGGCGCCTTTCTGCCTCCGCAATTCGCGCCTCCGCGGCCTTCGCTCGAAGGATTCGGTCGACGTTGTATCCACGCGATCTCAGTCCGAGGAGATCCAGGGTGAGGAACGGTTCGAAGAACAGATAGGCTTGCTGATTAGGCCTGTCAAGCAGCATTTGGCATATCGCTTGGCCAACCTGGTACATGTCTGGCTTTCCATCATCAGTCACATACAGGACCCATGACCTGTTGTTGTATGTTGCGGCCGCAGAGCGTTTCTCGGTGTGCGACTGCCTCTGGCCCTGCAAGCTTCGTCGAAGCGCCACCGATCGGACCACTTCCACATTCAGGTTCTTCTCGAGCCACTTTGCGTCGTGCTTAATGGCATCCCGGCGGTAGTTGGCGTACTCGTAAAGGAAGATCTTGGACCGTTCGAGAACGTGCTTCTTGAGCGATTCAGCCAGCTGCTGCTTTGTTGTGTGGGAGCCGATGCGCACATCCTCTTGGACTATGCTGCTTAGCCTCGACGCACCGAGCTTTATATAAAAAGTCTCGAGAATATCTTCTTCAGGGGCGCAAATCAAATGCTCCTTGAAGAGGCGGTAGCTGATAATGTCGTCCACCACAACGATTTGGCTAGCAGAAGCAAGCTGATACTGCCTAATCGGAGCTTCGTCTTCATCCAAATCATTGCTATTAGCATTGCCCTTGGAAGGCGCCACTAGTTCCTTATAGGCGAGGAGACACGGTGAGCTTTTCATCTTGCGCCAAAGTTCCTTATCGCGCTGGAGATTCGAAGTAACCTCGGCTAAAGATTTGAGCAGATCCAAGTACTTCTCGGGGCTCTGGAGCACGCTCAGAAGTCTTGCTGGCTCATTGCACGCCATATAGGCAACCTCCACTTTGGTCGGTTCGGCCTTTGCACCACATTTAAACAAAAAGATGTTTCCATCTGGACCAAAGTCTACAAAGTCAAAGATATCCCCATATGTTGAGGATGTCCCTATGTATGCCTGTGACGGACTGATATAAGCAAGCTTTGCGCCAGACTTTTCTGAAGCGGAAGAGCTTGATCGCTTCACCGGAACGATTGAAGCATTTCGAAGCTTGACTAAGCTGCTTTCTCCAAGCTCTCCAATGCGAGAGGCAAAGTAGCTAAAGAGAGTCACAGCGGACTGTTGGTTCTGAGGAGGGTTGGCAAGCAGACGATTAACACACTCGGCCATGGGTGGATCTCTAGCAACGCCGAATTTCTGATATAGAGTGTTAGTTTGGACATGCACATTTAAAGGGGCAAGGTGCTTACGTTGGCGTGATCATGAAGGTCACGACTCAAGATGTCAAACCCGAGCACCGCCGCTTTCTCGTTGGTAAAGCATGCACCCGGTGTTACCAACTTGGTGCTTCCCTGAAGCGGTAGGATTGGTTTGCGGCAGTCACTCAAATCAAAGGCGTTATACCGATTCGAATGATGATTAGCAATGAAGTAAGTCATTGCTGAGGTCCATAGCGCCTGATCGCCTGACGACATCATATCCACCAGCTCGGGAACTGAGGGAAAAGTCCGCAAGCCGAGGACAACCAGAAATCGAGCTTCAGGGCTGTTTGCCCGGAAGCTACCAGGAGGCCCTGGCCACTGAATGATGGGCAGCCGGAGAGATCGGAGGGAATCCTTGGGCTCAAATAGTTCCGAGACCTTGTACAGTTTTGTCGTCGCCTGCGTTGGCTCCGCGCCTTTAGGCCCTGCTTCAGCCGGACAAATTCTAGATTCTCTCAACTTCCGAAGGTCGCCTGATGGGATATCATTTTGCACAGAGGCCAAGTATTTAATGAGCTCCATATGACTCCATTTCTTTTGGCCATCTTCACCGGAAACATTGACCAGACGAGCAAAGATAGTCTCCAGATCAACCGTCTTTCGAACGCCAAGAGCCGTCAAAAACTTCTCCTTTATCTTTTCGCAACCTTGGATAACCGGCAAGTCATCGAAAAGCTTGACAGAGGCAAAGAAGGACTCTGTAGGTTTTCTCAAGCCCAGCTTAGTCGGCATCATCGGAGTTGACTGGACGAGACTCTGCATCGTGCCCCTATTAATCATAGTCATGGCCTCCCAGTTTTTAGACAACACTGTAAGGACAGCGACAGCAAATTTGGGAGATCTAGTGACACTCTCCTCTTCCGCCCTAGAGGCCGTAGTTTCGATGAGGAAGCGCAGCCACGGCACAATCTCCAAGGGCTCCCACCCAAGAGCTTCCAGTTCAGAAGCACTAATGTTGACAATGAGAGCATATGGAACGGTTGTTGGAGGCACTGGCATATTAGCAGGAATCTTTGAAAGACTAAGATAGTTGCTTATACTGCCAAGGGCCACGATTTCGCCCTTGTCGTTTTCATCGCTCAGAGTGGCAACGGCAACGTCCATAAGCGCAGCCCTGCTCCCTGGGTCAATCTCGCCAGTCAAGCTCTTCTTGCCCGCCCATTTTATAAAGTTGATGGCTTGGCTCTTCGTGAGAGCCTTGGCTTCCAGCTCTTCCTTGACATCCGTTACGGTGATGTGCGAGATGAGCCCAAAGTCTATCAGCTTCCTCACGAATGGCGCATCTGTCATGTCCTTGGGTACAACTGGGATGCTATCCACAAAGGCATTCAACTCTGTCGATCCTAGACGAACTTGCGATGTCTGCAAGACACCTCGGCTTGAATACACTTCGATGGAGGCCTTCCTGAAACAGGTCCAGAAAGCCTCCTCGATGGTCTGTCCGACTTGACTGCTTGGCGTAGAGTCGGTAAAAGTAAATGTCTTTAGAATGTGCAGCGCTTCAGGCATGAATCGGTTGACTATTTCGGCAGATATTTTCTTGCCAGCCTCAGATGATTGCCTTACTTTGCGATCGAGCTCGCTCATCTCATTGGCAAAGGCTAATCTGGCTATAATGCCAGAGGCTCGGAGAAGTTCCACGTTCCACGTTCTAACCCAGCGAGCGTTCAAGTCGATGGCCTCTCTCTCGACAGTTGGGATGACAGAGGGGGCAGAGATATGCATTCCAGCGCCGGTTGTCTGCATAGTAGGGAATCCAATAAAGATGCGACCACCCGGCTTCTTGTTTGGCAGCACAGAAGCAAAAACATCTGTAGCCTTGGCAAAAGCGTCGTTATCTGGGGTCGAGCCCTTGGAAGCTTCAGCCTCATCATATGATGTAGTGAGAATGGATATCTTTGTAGTCTTTGGTGGAGGCTTCTTGGTCGCACGCTCAAGCTCGGCGGAAAAGGAAGCCGATACGTGGGTCTTGATATTGGCAGTCGTAGCCCTGAGGAATATTGTGGCTTTGTTTAACGCAGTAACATCTTCTGTGATTTTCGTCTGAGCTTGAGTTTCCTCTGTCTGCTGCTTTGTCTTGAGGAGGCTGTTGTTTGAGGCTGTCGTGGTGAGTCTCGCAAAGAAGGATCTCAGAGAGGGAGCCTCGGTGGAACCGTATGAATCCGAGGCTTTTGCAGCGGATGCTGCTGCTGTGGGCTTCCATCCAACTACGTTCATATAGGATGCGTCAATCTGTGTGCTTGTACGACCTACGCTTGTCACTTTCATAATGTTGTCTTTTGTCCTAGCCTCCAGGTCGCGAGGCAGCGTCAGGTCAACGCTGGGGGATGTCTTTTTGTGGAGAGAAAGAATCAGATGGTCATCGATCCAAAACTCAATCTTCTCCAGCGCAACAAAGGTAAGACTTGTAGCAAGAAACTGGCTGACGGAGAGCAGATTCGGCATAGGAGTCGTCGTATTTCTATAATCTAGCACGAAGGCGGTGTATGGCGATGATTTATCCTCAGGTAGGTGTGACTTTTTGGTAAAGAGAGAGTTTCCTTTCCAGTAAAAGGCCATGGCCTCAGCGCCAGAGCTAACAAAGGGCTCCTCGCAGTCGGCAAAGACGCTGTAGAAGCCGACACCGAACGCTCCGATCTTGGTCTCATCAGGATTTCCCTCTGCGATTCTCTTCAGACGGCCCCAGTCTGTCTTTGTAAAAGGCACGCCGTTGTTCTGGACAACCAGCCGCCGCAACGTGTGATTAGCTATCGTGTGCTTCAACAGTTCGGATCGGCTCGCAGCGCTGGGAAGAGGGACGCTTGTTGACGGGTGCGTCTCCCACTTGATAGAAACAGTCGTCGCTTGCGCATCGGCCGCATTCTGAATGAGCTCTCGCAGCGTCGTCCATTCTCCTGAGTAACGGGCCAGGACCTTGTCTATGAGAGCGCGGGTGTCGACAGTGACGGCTTCTTCGTCTTCGCCGTCCCGCAGAGCGGCCGCCCGCAGGCTCGAGTAGTCCATCGCCATGGTCGCAGATGCTTCTGGGGACTCAGATGTGCATTCTCTATGGTTCGCAGCGCAAGTCTAAGGACATCAACTATGTCAGTACGAAAGCCGCAAGCAAAAGGGGAAGAGATGCAGGGTTAAACTGACGAGTCAGCAAATCTATAAACCGTGGCAAACAATGAAAGAAGAGTCTAGAACCACAAACTCCCCCGCGCATGGATGCCCGCACCGTTGTAAAGGGAGAACTTGGTGAATGAGAGCTTACGTTGCGGCTTGTGCCTTGGTTCATCGATGTCGACCGCTGTGTAGCACGTGAATTCGAGATTTAGGGGAGTCGCCATAGCAGCCGGCACTAACCATCAAGTCTCAGGCCTTAAGTCCGTCAGTACCATTCTTTACGCCACAATCTCTTTAACAATTTAAGCTCAAGATAGGCCGGGATTTGAGAACATATAATTGGCATACGCCAGCTTTGTGTTAGACTTCTGATATAACCACTGTAAAGCCTAATTTATTATCCAACAGCCAGTTCACTGCCATGTCTCGCCTCATTGTGGTACATGCACAGGCGACTGTGGGGTACTTCATGCGCAAGACTCCCCAGGTGTGTGTGTCGCTGAGCCAACGGACCCGACAAAACGATCCATGTTAGCCAAGTTCCCTCCATGGATGTTTTCTCCATTCCTAGACCTGGGGGGATTAAGTTTTACGTTACGGTTAGTAGAGTTTGGTAGATCTCGGAAACGGGCCGATGAACTATCAAGGTAGAACAAAGCCGGTATAGAAACCAGCCGAGGACCGAGTAATCCCATGTATGATGCACCCTACTAGGTAGTTCCTTACCTTCAGATATATGCTTTGACGTATAAATTCAATTACGATGGAGTTGATTTTCTTCGACCATCGCTCAAATCTATAAGAATAACTTACAAACCCCTATGAGATTAGCTCTACTCGTAACAGAGAGCATTCCTCTGAGATTGAAGAGAAGCATATCACCAGCGGATCACACACTCGCAGTATTTACGTGTGAACATTCATGTTACTACCTAATCATCAGCCAGCCTTGACACTTGGAAGTGCCGACATTATCTGTCAACAAAAACGACCAACCCGGTGTCCACATGTACATGCATATAGAAACTACTTACAATTTAGTACCAATCAATGCCTGCCATCTGGAAATCCTGCTGCCGCCGACTTGAGCCAATCGCGTATGAGCTCGTCATATTGGGGACCAGAATTGGCCGGAGAAGCCAGCGCGTTTGTTGAGCGCGGCAGCGCGTTCGAAACAGGGGGCTGGTATTAGTTCTGACATCCTTCTTATTTCTACTACGTTTATTTATTCATACTTGGTTGCCTTGTTTTGCCCCTTGGTTGCCTAATCTTCTGTATCTAAGTGATTTGCGAACCACCAGCCTTTCACGATGACAACTCCTGCCCATAATGATATTGCCACCCCTCGGGAGGATGTCCTTCGGCATACGCTTGATGGTGTGCTTCAACTATGTGAACGCCTCACGGTTTGGGGGCAAAAGCACGCTGATTCAGGCCTGCCTCTGACTGAACTGGTCTGCAACGAGATCCAGAGTTTATGTGCTACCTGCCTCCCGCTCAGGATACAGATTACTGGATCTGGCTATGTCTCATCTGAGAGTCTTCAACAGACACTTGTACGCTGTAAGACACAGCTTTCTGAGACGTTGGACCTTCTTTCGTTCCATAAACATGCGGAACGTGGTGGCCAAGAGGGAGATCTCAATGTCTTATACGCACGCAGGTATATTCTCAACCAAGACACTCATAACAGCACGCATCATCTGTATGGGAGAAAAGAGGGTTTGGTCCGCCTTGGATTAGAGCTGAGGGAGCATGTTGCAGCACTTGTTCAAGATAAACCGACTGAATCCCTGACAGCAGGGGTTGCTGTGCAACGATTCCAACAACTCGAGTATGTAACATCTCTATTATTCAGACGTTTCCACTAACAATAATCTTGTCTTAGACCCAGACTGCGAGATTTCTTTTCCCGAGTCCAAGAACAACTTAGCCCCCGATATGTTCACAATTACACAAGCCTAGCTGAGGCACCGTACGTTCTCGACCCGATGGAGGGAGCATCCTCAGGCAGCTATGGCACTGTGAGAAAGGTCAATCATAAGGAAAGCGGCGAGCCGCTTGCAATGAAGACTTTTCGCGAAGTCTTCTATCCGAAACAAATGAAGAAAATATTGAGAGAGATTGGGATTCTAGAGGGTTGCAATCATAAGAACATTGTCCGTTTTGTCCAGGCATTCAGAACCGACGACGAAGATGATCAACCTGTACACTTCGTCATGGCTCCATGGGCGCCTTATACATTGTCGCGATTTCTTCATAGCCCCGATGTTAAGAGGAAAGCTCGGTGTCCCTGGTTTCAGCAAAATTCATCTGAATCTAACCGTTGCATATATCAAATCATGTACGGGCTGGCCGATGCTGTCGATTACCTACATAAACACCATATCAAGCACAAGGATCTCAAACCTGACAATATTCTTTTATACCAAGAAAAAAGTCAGCGCCCTACAGCCTTGATTACAGACGTCGGTGTCAGCAAAATTTACAAGCCTGGAGCCTCTACCAACTTCACTGATAGTACTTACATTTATCTCGCTCCAGAGCAGCATGCGAAGAAAGAGAGCACCTTCAAATCAGATGTTTGGCAGCTAGGATGCTGCTTTGCCGAGATTCTTGCCGTAGCCAACAAAGGGCAGTCAGGCCACGAAGAGCTTCTGGATAGCTTCATTCGGGATGATGAAAACTGCCAATGCTCTATTGCATTCGAGCAACCCTCATTCATAACAACCTTGGGTGCAATCTGCAAGCGAGGCAATTCTGCGCAAAAGAAGGCCTATGCCGTGGTCGTCGGAATGTTGGATTTGAATCCTCAAGACAGGCCAAGTATTGACGCGGTTAAGGCTGCTCTTATGAAATTGCCTGGGGTGAAAACCGAAGCCGCCAATTGCTGAATTGATATGAGATCATCGATATACCCCAGTATAAGGTACCTATCTATAGGTACCTGTGTTAGGCCGAAGCGATAATGAGGAATGAATAAGATTGGATAAGAATTCAGAGCCCCCGTATCAGTCAGGAGCGCTCTATTATTGGTAGTATACTTCGTAAAGGCAGCAGAAATTGATACTTTCTTTTATTTAGCCATATTTATTATAATTATTCGATAAAGCAATCAAACAACTTACTATCACAATGCCTGCAGCTAAGTTGTGTAATATGTATTGGGTATCATTGTTTATTACAATCAAGTACCAAACGCCAGCAAACATGACATGTCTTCCAGTCTAATCTTCTCGGCGCGAGCTTGGCCCAGGGCTTCGTCGTCTATGCTCCCTAGATCGAGATCGATGTCGTTGCCTGCTCCTGTCTCTCTGTCGTCTTTCACCTCGCCTATCCCCTTTCCCATCCTCCCGATCTTCCCGCCTATTGTCGCGCCGATCTCTGCTTCGGCTCCTATCGCGATCTCGGCGGTGTCGGCGCTCACGATCCCGATCTCGGTCGCGTTCGTCCCGTCCCTCAGCTCGATCACGACTGCGCCGTCGGTAGTCTCTATCGCGTCGCTTATCAGGACTCCTGCTCCTGCTCCTACTTCTGTGTCTTCTTCGCTCTCTCCTGTCATCGCCATGTCGTCTTGACCTCTCCGGCTTCGCCTCATCTCTCGGCGGTCCACTGGCGGGACCTACTTGTCGCTTGGGCTCAACTTCGATAGCATTCGCTCCGGATGAGTTTCGTAGAGGAGGCGGCAAACCCAGTGCTTTGGCGATTGCGTCTTCTTCCGCCTCCTTGATCTTGCGCAGCTCTTCTTTTTGTTCGCGATCTTTGCGCTCTTCGTCTGTCTCGGCCGATTCTGCCGCTGTGGCGTCCGACTTGGCGTACCAGTTCAAATCCCGGCCCTTGGCCCATCGTCCAACTGGCGCCTTGAGGCTGTGGCCGAGATAGTTTTCGCGGTGGTTGGAGTTGGCGACTTCGTCCCAGCTAAAGTTTACGCCACCTCTGGAGCCGGTCTTGCGGATAGTCGAAAGCAGATCCATGGTCGGAACTATGTAGGGTATGAAGGTGTGATAAGAAATATTATATCCAAGATTGACGGCCAATTATGATGACCCTTGGCTAAGAATGTAGAATGTAGAAAAGTCGAGAGTTGCAGGATGCATGTGTCAAGTCATGAAAGATGCAGCACTGGCAGAATTCATGACCCACCCGCGGGGCCGCTACGCCGGAGCCCCACGCCTCTGTAATAGCGCCTCTACAGCTGCCTATCCACTAAAAGCTTCTAGTCCTCTGCAATTGAGCTCACCTCAAACCATTCACTCTCCATCACCAACCTCAAAACACCGCCCTCACAATGGCGAATCCCAACGATCCCCCCCTCGACGAGATCCAATGGCGCTCCCCGCAGATCGTAGCTCAAATGGGCGGCCTCCACTCCAACACAATCCTCTTCTATTTTGCCGAATCGCCCTTCTTCGAGCGTACCTCCAACAACGCCGTCATCATGGCCCAGGCAATGAACAACATGGCCATGTACCACTACATTCAGACGCGCGAGGCCTTTGAAACACGTCTCAAGACAATGTCGGGGTTGGAATTCATCGTGGGGGAGGAGCCGGCCGAGACTGGTCCGGGCATGGGAACAGGTGTTTGGGTCATTCGGAAGCAGACCAGGCGAAAGCGGTACCAAGATGATGACGAGATCACTGTCCATGCTTCATTCTTCGTCGTGGGCGAAAATATCTACATGGCCCCCACGTTGGCAGACATTCTGGCCTCAAGAATAGTGCGTGAAAAGGTCGGAATATCCCCGATCCAGGACACATAGCTGACCTTTACTCCTAGATGACGATATCTTCAGCCATTGCAAAGGCATTGCCAGCCGCCGAGGCAGCCCGCAAATGGCGTCCCTCCACAGGCCACGTATACCAGCTCCCTGCAAGCCAATCCTCCACCCAACCCAAGCCACAAGAATTCAAGGAAGAGAAGCCCGTGCTCGACGAAGCCGGCAAACCTCTCTCGGCAGTAGCAAAGCACGACGCCCCATTCATGGACAGAGTCGCCGAAGAATCCTTCATGATCCATCTGAGATACGGAGGCGAATACATCGACGAGATCCCCATCACAGGCAAGCCGGGAGAGTTCCACTTATCTTCTACGGGCCGCAAGCCCGTTCTTCCTCCGCAAGGCGCGGCTCCTACGGGCATCAGCGCTATGAGCGGGCCTCCTATGCTGAATACGAAGCTAGATGACAAAAAGGATGGCAGGCCGGACAAGACGCCGAAGTCAGCTACGATGCCTAAGCTTAAGAGGAAGAAGAGCAAGATGAGCCCGAGTGTGACTCCTGCTGCGACGCCTGGAGCTTCATGAGAGGGATTGTTTTGTGTGCGGACGTGCTCTGAGCATTGGCGTTTTTGAAAGAGGGAAGGGGGGCGGCGTTTGCGTTTTTGGTTTTTGATACCCGGCTCGAAGATGAATCCGAATTATTGTACGGGCAATAGACATGCATAAAAAATAGCATATAATGACAATCATCCCAAGTCACATATACGACATACTGAAATCTATCATGTCATGGATATCATGATATCGCTTTGTTATTGCATCTAATTATTTTCACTCATTTTTACCCACTCATTAACGCCATTATGAGATACTCTATAATTCATCTTCATGTCTCCTTCACTCCACAATCCATCCTTTGCCCGCCACCTTCTTCTGCTTCACCTTCTGCGCCGGCAACGGCCATCCCTGTCCCGCGGTATTCTCCGCCCTCAAATACGGAACGACCCAGCACTCCCGCGTCGTCGCTCCATCGGCGCCCAGAGCCTGAGCCTTGACCTCCTTAATCGGCTTTCCATAGCTAATTAGCGGCGTGCCCTTTGCCAGACCAGCAAGCTGGCCACCCGTCACATCGGTGAGCGCATGCATTCTCGTCTTGGGCTTCTTCTCCGAGTCGAGTGCGCCGGAAGGTGTAGCGCGCTGGAGGAAGGCATACACAATATACTCGGGACATTCTTGGGGACTGACGTGCGCGAGCGAGGAAGTAGGGTGGATGTAGACACAGGGGTTTTCGCCGCTGCCGGGTCTGTGGAGGGGAATGAGCGGGATGTAAGGCACGTCGATTGCACGACGAGGTTTTCTGAATTGCTCGGGTGGGTTGGGTGCCAGATCTGCGCGGATGGCGACTTGGTCCAGGAAGCCGGCCGCGGTCATTTGCTTCAACGCGCTGACTTGCTTCGGTGAGGGGGGGTCCAGCTTTTCTTGATATTGTAGTGCGGCGAAGGAGGGGATGTTTGTGCGTAGTAGATCTGTGATTTGCTTTCGTAGTTGCTGGATTTCCTTGAGGACCTTGTAGCGGACGAAATGGGTTTCACACCATTTCTCGGTGGGCTCGTGTGCGAACTCGCCGACGACTTGCAGAAGCTTGATGGCGTCAGACTTGTCGTCCAAGAAGCAAAAGTTCTTGTGAACTTGGTTAAACAGTCGCCTAACGTTTGCCTGGCGATCTTCGGCAATAACATCAGCAGCAGTGCGGATTGCTGTATCTTCCTTTGCGGTGAGAGCTGGAATAGCCTGATTCTCTGCGAGGTAGACTTCTGCCGCAGAGAGTCCAGCTACGAGAGCAATTGTATACGGCAAACAGTTGTGGAGGTGTCCAACGAGCAAGATTCTTGCAAATCGAGGAGACAGGGGGAACAAGGACATTGTTGTTCCCACCTTGGTAACCTGGCCGCTGGGAGATATGGCAGAAAGATATGTGAGGAGCTTTTCAGCCTTGGCGAGCATTTGTCGGTCGGGAGGTGTAGGGAAGGGGAAGTTGACGACATTTTGTAGATTCATCGCCTTGAGCTGCAGCACGATGCCTTCGATGGGCATCCGCAGCAGTTCAGGGTCTGAAAATTCTTGGAAGTCTCTCTCGTAAACCGCAGATGAATAGAGTCTGTAGCAGTGGCCAGGGCCCGTACGTCCAGCACGACCTGATCGCTGGCTTGCGCTGGCCTTGCTGATCCAGCCAATCTCGTAGCTCTGAACACCACTGAGGCGGTCGTAATTCCGTTCTTTTGAACGTCCGCAATCAAATACAAATCGAATACCGGGTATAGTTAAACTGGTCTCAGCAACGTTGGTTGCGAGAATAATCTGTCGAGTCCCTTCAGGAACCTCTTCAAAGACTCTCAGCTGCTCTTTAACTGGAAGCAAAGAGTACAGAGGCAGTACCTGCATCTTGAGAGGGACAACTTCATCATCTTCCTCTTCAAGTTTAAATTCGTCATCCCCTTCTTCTTCATCAGACTCGATGCCATCCACATCATCAAAGTCATGCTCATCAACGTCGCCGAAGTCGAGGTCTTCAACCTCGACTGGCGCTTCGGTAGCTGAGATCTTCACCTTGGGGCCCTCAGCTGACCTAGGTCCGCCAAAAGCCGCCTTGAGTTTCTTGCTTAGTTGCAGAATCTCATTGCGGCCTGTCAGGAAAACCAAGAAACCTCCGGGTGGCAGTTTCTTATGGCCTCTGGTGATTTTCCGGAATGCTTCCTCCACATAATCATGGTGAGTACGACGCGCAAAGTGGATAGTAACTGGATGCTGTCGTCCTTCAACCTCGACAACAGGTGGAGGAGTTGAGAACAGGCTAGGGTTCATTGTCATGTCCTCTATTCTCAGAGTGGCAGACATGATGATGAGTTTCAGGGGCTTAATCGTTGGGTCTTCCTGTGACAACTCAGTCCTGAGTTTAATGACTCGACTTAGCATTCCGATCAAGATATCGGTATTTACGCTTCTCTCGTGAGCCTCATCGATGACAATGGCCGAATACTTTCGCAGTGTAATATCCTGCGCAACCTCTCGGAGCAGCACACCATCAGTCATGAACTTGATGGCGGTCTTTGCATCAACGTTGCCCTCGAAACGAATCTGATAGGCCACTGCGCTTGAGTGGTCTCCAAGCTCATCTGCCACTCGCTTAGACATACTGACAGCAGCAACCCTACGGGGCTGCGTGACGCCAATCAGTCCTGGTGTTGGGGAATTGGGAGATCCATAACCCGCCTCATACAAGAACTGAGGCACCTGTGTAGTTTTTCCCGAACCAGTGGAACCACAGATCACGACAATGTCATGGTTGTGGATTGCCTCCATGAGTCTCTGTTCTTCAGAAACAACCGGCAGCTTCATGCGAGCCTCTTCGATCTCGGGCGTTCTTACAACAGCCACGCTGAAGACTTTTCTTGACGTTTTCTCTGTGACTTGCAATTCCATCGGTAATGGGTCCTGTTCGGGAGCTCTGGGAACGAAATTTTCAGGCTTCGGTATCTCTAGAACGGCTGAATTTGCATCCACGGGCTGGTATCCAAGCGCCTCGTTTCGCTGCTGAAGAGCCCACGCCTTGAATGAGGACGACCTTTGGCTCTTTTGCTCTTCGTCTATCTCTTCTTCATCTTCCTCCTCCTCGCTTGTTTCTTCTTCAGATTCGGAGTCGTCGTCGTCTTCGGAGCCTTCGTCTGAGGTGCCTTCGGATTCTTCTTCGTCAGAGTCATCGTCATCTTTCTCAGCCTTGTCGTCGTCGTCGCCACTGAAACCATTCCATTCATCTTCATCTCCTGACTTTTCAGACTCTTGTTGCTTCTCTGCGACGAGCGAAACCTTGGTCTTCAGTCCTCCTCTTTTCTGTCGCTTCTGAATCACTGGCCGGCCTTCGTCATCTAGTTCGAGTGGCCGCTTCAGACCTGTTCCAACAGTAACTGCCGGCGCAACTGTCTCTTGGGCGGACGGAGCGACGGGTTTCGGTGCATCAGTATCGGGTTGTGCTACAGGTGCAGCTGCATCGTCTGACATGTGCGCATCGTCTTCGTCTTTGTCCGCCTCCTCATCAACCTCAGGTCGCTGCTCAAAAAGAACATTTTCCACCGAGGATGTGGGATCGACGCCAGCTCTGTGTTCTCTTAGCGCACGAGACAATGCCTGCTTCTTCGTTTCGCGACCCTGTCCCAGAGACTTGCTGCTCGAAAACAGGCTCGTATCGATCTTTCTCTCCGCGAGCTTCGCGAGCAATTCGCGGTTCTCGTCTTTGCGCAGCTTGTTGTCAATATATTTCTCCAGGCGCTTCGCCTTCTTTCCACTCATTTTTTCTCCATCCTTCTTCAACTGCTCCTTCATGCGAGCCTTCTTCTCCTCCAGCTCCTTCTTCGCGGCCGGCAGGATTTCCTGATTGGTGTCTTCGACCTCATGGCGGGCGCTTTCTTTGGCTCGCTCACGAGCCAGCACCTTGTGCTTTCTCTGTCTGGGAACAAATTTAGCCATCCTGAGGCTTGTGGACGGTGAAGCTTTATCGCATTACGCTCAATGCTGAAATCTCAATGGCGCCGTTCAAATCGCAGCGTTATCGCGAAATGCAGAGGCCGATAACCAGAAATTTTGGCAGATAAAGAATTTTGCCGCTGCTGACCGCCAAAGTCTCGACACGGATTAGGAATAGTGCGGGGACCACTCGCATCTAGCTCCATGAAGCTCAAGTGGCTTACCCTGGATGAATCTCAGACAATTCAAAAACGACACATTCACAATGGCAACAACAGTAGATATAAGAGAAGACGCTTTCCCAGCTCGGAGTCGATCAGCTTCAGGATTAGTCAATGGCGTATCAACAGAAGTCACACTACTAGAGTTTTCGGATAAGATTTTAATCACGATTAGCCAGGAAGGGCGACTAGCGCAATGGGTATGTCGAGGTTGACGGAGCTTCATTGAAGGAAGGTTGCTGATGAGATGACAGATTCAAGTCCCCATGATGGGAACCACTGCGGGCATAGTTGACATGGCGCTTCCAAGCAGTGGCCATGGCCTGCTCCCCGCCACTCATCTTGCCCCCAAGACGCTGCTAGGAGGAGGTGGTGACGACAGAGAAACTCTTGGACAGCTCTACGCTTCACAAATTGCCAGCCACATTTCCTTGAAATCTCCTGAAGAGAGACGGACGCTTGTATTCGGATTTGGGCTCGCAAAAGCCGAGAAGGAGCAGGAGACCTTTTTTGATCTCTTTGAGCTGGCTCTCAAAGTGTTGTAATGGGTGTGCTGCCGGTAGAAATGGAATGAAAGACGGCTAGGGTTTCACATGCTGATAGAAAACATCCTGCAAACCGCTCTCACTCTCATCCCAGAAACAACTGATGCACTGGCCGTCAAAATACATCTGAATTCGCCCAATGCTTAAACACCAAAAAAACTCATCAAAAGAAAGACAGAAACTTAGGGATGTTTGTACCACTTCGCCCATCCAAGAAAGAAAGATACCGATAGGCTTCTCCGCCTATTTCTGCCGTTGGCGTCGCTTCTTCTTGGGTACTGGAATTCTATTGTCGGCAAGTGCAGCCTCAAGCATGCAGTCGTCTAAAGTACACTTATCCTGATCTCTACGCGATTTCAACAGATGCCACTCTCCTACTCTCTCCCGAACCCCAGGGCGCAGAGACTGGATATAATCATAGACTACAGAGGATGAGGTTTCAGGGTCGTAGCCAAGTTCAGCGACTAGATTATGAAAGTAGATGTTGTATTCGAGAACGGGCCTGGTTCCTTGACGGGCATTTCGGTATTTTGTGAGCGTTCTCCACCTGGCCAAAGGGTCCTTGAAGAGGTTATCCATGTCCTTCAAGATTGCTTCCAATGTGGCAGCCGATGAGACAGGGACCCCATCAGTCTTTGAATACTGGTCGATCTTCTTGGATAACGTCCATTTTTTAGCGGGACCAGTTGTGTTCTGGAGGACAGCTGTGGCGAGCATGTCTCCCGGTACGGCTCCGTTCATAGCAGCCCAATTTCGTATGTCGGTTTTCCATCGTGGATAGTCCGAGATGGTTCCGTTAAACGGCCTGGGCTTATTTCCCGTGAGTTTCTTATATGACTTCCAAGCTGCCTTGCGCGTGATTTCCAGCAGGTTTTCCCAGGAGTCATCAGCAGTGCAGACTTTCCCAAGCGCATTAGCTAGCTCATTCTTGTGCTGACATTGAGAGCTGGAGCTTTCTTGGGCTTTGGCAACAAGCGAATCAACGGTACCGGACAATGCGTCGAACGTGTAGGAGCCGCTGGTGCGTAAGTTTTCGGGAATAGTTTCCCATAGTTTGAGAAGGCCGTCTTGAGGTGTTTCGGCAACCATCGTGTAAGCTTGAGAATTTGCTCAAAAGAGGGCAGCCAGAACGAGATACTATAAGTCCAAGGCTTAATATGACATGGAGTGAATCTCCGGGCTACAGAATGAGGTACTTGTGTCGGTTGAAACACAGCCAACCTGTGGAAGAAATATCAATCAATGCAAGCTTGGTAAACCCCTCACAGGGTGCGCAGTATCACGAATAATGATTTCTCTTCGCAAGAAGAATAAAATGCAAAAAAAAATAACCTGGACGAACGGGGAATCGAACCCCGGACCTTTCCCATGCGGGAGGGCAACTGAAGCGCTGCCGATGCTAAGGGAAAATTATACCACTAAACCATCCGCCCATGATTGGTTGAAGAGTCTGTCCCATATTGACATCTATACAGAGTATACGCACGGCTTCTCAAAGAGAAATGTTTTAATCCACACGCACTTACACCACTCTTCTCAAACATCACCAGTCAAACAAGATCAAATAGAGCATAACACACATTATTCATAAATCATGCATCTACCTCATAAATATATCTAACAAACTGTCTGTATCTTCACAGCAGAGGAAAGTTGAGCAAAACAGCCGATGAATCCGGCACCTCAACCGTTACCTGTCCATTGCGCACAACCGCAGTCTCTCCCACAGTCACGTTATGCAACCTCACAGGCTTACCCTTTGCAAGCTCATAGTTGTAGCTCCATCCATCAAAAGTAATACCAGTAATAGCATCACTTCCATTAGCCAACAGACGCTGCACACCAACATGCGCTCCGTTACGGGCACCGCTCACAGCGAAAGTGTACGTCTGGCTAGGACGAGGGGGAGGGTTGGGAACTGACTCGAGACCCTCGCCGTCGACGGTGGTGTTGTAGCCGCGCATGTTGAGGACGGTGAGGCGAGCGAGATGGCCCTTGAGAAGACCGCTCGAGTAGTGAGCTGCGTAGGCGGCCTCGTAGGCACTGGCCAGAGGGATGTTGGTGATGCTAACGGGGAGGAGCTCCTGGTTGCCCAGCGTGGCAGCGACGGCGACGCTGCCGTAGTAAGGGGCCTTGGTGCCTCTGGAGGCCAAGTCGGTCTCAACAGGTTGCCAAGCTTGGTACTGTTATGATGGATCAGTCATGAGTGTCTTGATATGAGTACGAGTTAAGACTTACACGGTAGTTGGTGCCCATGTGCATGTGGACGCGCTTGAAGCCCACTGAAGCGGCATAGAGGTTAAAGTCAATGCCCCAGAGCGCGGCACCAAACGTGTTGGACAGACCAGGCCGGCCTTGGTTGTAGAGAGAGTTGCACTCGCCAAAGATGAGGGGAGTGGACTTTTGGGCCGCAGCAGTGGTGAAAATGGCGTTGTACTCTGGGAGATGGCCCTGGACAGAGCTCACGGTCCTGTTGTGGTTCATCAGGGTGCCCTGCAGGGTGACGCCAAGAGAGGTGGCACCGCTAATGTAGCTGTTGATTTTATTAGTACGAGTTCATCTTGGAGGGAAGCATATACTGAGACTTACTTGTGAGTTGAGAAATACTCAATATTCTTGTTCTTGTCAAGACCGTCCTGGAAGGCGAGAGGTGCCTTGAGGTGGTTGCCAGTACCGGCAAACGAAGGAGCCATAAACTTGGGACCTCCAAAGAGGGCCAAGGTTGGGCAGTGCTTCTTGACCTGCTTCGTGATCTCGGCCGTGCCATTGAGCCACTGCCAAGCATACGTGCTCTCGTTCCAGTTCGAGGGGCGCACAGGGCCCTGCGCCGACGTCGAATAGAGATCAGGCTCATTGCCATACTCCCATGTGTATATGTTCCCGTGGCTAAGGGCTTTGCAGGCCAAAGGAACCGTGTCGGCGAGAGTCTCCCATCCCTCTGATCTGTTGGCACCTAGTCCAAGGTTGAAGCCGTGAGAGAACTGGACGCCGGGCCAGGTGCCGTAGGACTCAAAGTAAGCGTCACCAATGTGAATGGTGGTCGGGTAGTCGGGCGATCTGCTAGGATCGACGATACCGATCAGGGATGCCTTTTGAGACGCATTGTAAAGGGCGTAATCTTGGGTGTTGCCACCGACGCGAATATACGGCTTATGTCCTTGAAGAGCCCCGAGGTTGTTGATGAGGTTGTATGAGAACGTATTTGGGGACGACTTGTTGCCTGTAGGAGAGAGAATTAGATCCAATTGATCATTTGAGGGGGGTTTATCCATGAGGTTATCTTACCGGCAAAGTCAGGGAATGAAGCAAACTCAATTGAGTAGCTCACGAAGCCATCGAGAGGCTCGCCATTGGCATTGGGCTGCGAGGGAACGGTATACACGTCGGCCGCGGCGGATGAAGCGGCACCGAGCAGCGTGACGAGGGCGCTTTTTGTCAACATGTTGAACCGTCGAGAATTTCCAAGTAAAAGCAGCTTAAGAGAGAAAGAGGAAGTTCCAATTGTCGAGATGCGGTGATGATGCCATTTATATAGCCTTGCCCCCTCCCCTGGGGGGACCTTATTGCTCGAAGCTTGGGACCCGGATGAGCTTTTCTTTTTCGATATTACTTAACACTTGATTCTGGGGACCTTGTTCCTACATTTTGCGTCTCCCCGCATAATGTGGTGCAACCCTGTCCCTTGCTAGTCGATGCATCGGTTCATCTCGGCCCCGGGGGATTGTCACATCACCTACCCGAACGGGAATATGACGATGATGGCTCGAGTCTTGACTTTTTTTTTTTTTCTCAGCTCCATCAATAACGGCGGGCCAATCCGAACGTTGTTTATTCAAGGCGGTGTCCCCTTCCCCCCCTTTTGTTTCTTTGTTGATGAGTGATGAATATGCAAGTAAGACAAAAATTGACATAACTCGTAGACCGCCCTGCGTCTGGTGAAAGAACCAATTGACCGGAACAGGCTCCGACAGCTGTTCAATGTCCGTATGCCAGTAGTGAGTGACAGTATCCCTGGAGACAAAAAGCCCAAGCGAAGCTATATCCGTTGGCCTATCCACCTCTCGGGCCGAATCATGTTTTCTCCCGCCAAGCGTCGCAACAGCGAGATTCCGCGAATGGGGTGTCGAGCCGGTTAAGCTTCCCCGCGATTCGTTCAAGCTCTGGAAATATAGTAGGAGGATAATACTACGTAGCAGTATGTAGTCATCGTAAATCCATGGAATCCCCGCACAGCTGGTTCTGCCTATTATCCTGTCCTGACAGGGCTGAGCGTTAGTGGCGTGTTTGTCGTATGTAGGTATGTAGGATAATAATCCGACACCGCTTATACTAGCCGTACTGCAGATTGAGGCTTTGATGCTGCAAGGTGAGCTTTCCAGGTTATGTAAGGAGTGGAAATGGCGTCATCCAAGGTGGTATTTCTGTCATGTTGATTACAATTGGATTTTGCCTTGCTCTGGTCATACTTGTAGAGATATTTAAAATGCTGGATTGCCTCCACAAAGCTGTTTTTGTACTTCTTTTCGATGCCAAGTTCACCATATTCGGTAGTTGATGCGAGGTACCACTGCCAGTCCATATAAGCTGACGTAAGTTAAACGGATCCTCGCACCAGAATTCTTTCTCACATTGCAATTAGCTGTGTTTCGATTGGCTGGAAAATTAAAGACACAATTAAAGGCATGATGAACAGCAAGGAGAGCCGTCGTCAATTGGCTGTGAAAAATGTCCAATTGCTACAATCGACATTGAGCCAAAACATGAGGCTTTAGTGGCCTTTGAAGAGGAACCCATATTGCGCGTACCGAGTACCTAATATTATGCGGGAGACGCCATACAAACACGGGTACCTCGGATGGAGCGTTACGCCAACGTTAGCAGTAGCTTCTGCGGGATAAGCCATGGACTAAGCGAATCCGAGAAGGAGTTGAGCCTAATCAGCTGATTGCGTCACTCGGTGTTGCGATGCGAGTTGTCGTTTATGCGGAAGCTGTATAAATTCTCTCAGCTGAGACCAGACGAGGTTTTCCATTCTCTTCAAAAGTGATTGAGCTCACAGGACTTGATGAAGTAACTGTCAATTCCAACAAACTGTTCCGCAGCAGCTTATGAGAGAAGACTTGCGTGTAATTGAGCCCAACTCGCAACTCTACTTCAACAACTCACGACAACCAATTCAACCTCAAGAGGGAGGGAGAATAAGAAGGAGAAGAGAAAGAAAAACATCAGATTGAAACCACCAAAACTCATCAGCCATGTCTCGCTACTTCCCTCACACACCATACGCTGAAGACCAGCCTCTCTCCCACGTCATCCTCACAACTCACGTCCTCACCCGCGCCGTCACCACCGGCAGCATCATCGGCCTCGTCTTAACCAGCGTCCGCCAATCCATCCCCTCACTCCGCCGTCCCGGCCCTCTATCCGAGAAATTGCTCCTTTCAGCAACCCGCAGCACAATCATCACCACCGCCATCGTCGGCGTGGGCCTCACGGCGCGGATGTGGGGCCGGGAACCCATCGAGTGGCAAGATCGGAGCTGGAGATTGCTGGAGAACAGGGGCCAGCTTGAGACGGATGACTGGATGTATGGAGGGATGGGAGGGGCGTTGCTGGCAACGGGGTTGATGGGCGTTAGGGGAGCGGGAGGGCCTGCGAAGTTGGGATGGCGTGGTGTTGCTGGGGCGGCGGGGATTGGGAGCGTGGGCGGCATGATTGGATACATGGCGTGGAGATATGGCATCAATGGGGGCAAGTTTGTTGAAAAGGACAAGAAGGGAGAGAGAAAAGGAATTTGAAGCTAGAATGATGTTGAAAAGGGGAGCGAGGAGGTTGCTGTAATAACACAATTTGTAACACTAGTATAGCACAGCGAAAGGACGTTCATAAACTCATCTCAAGGAGACTCAAGGTATAATTTGATGAAATTACAATATTATCTACAGCTTGACTTGCAGGTCTAGGCATTTACAGCTTCGCCCGTGGCTCAACCAGCTCCTCAATCTTCTGATACTGGTAAAAGTGTTGGAGGCACTGCGGATTCAACAGCGTTCCACTCGGCTTGATCGCCCTGCCCGAGA